AGCAATACCACCAGCAACACGAAGAGCAGGTGGCTGATGATGATGATCATCTTCCTCAACCATATCAATGAAAGGGTTGATGCCTTCAATGATATGATTGGAAAGATGTTCAATATCATTGTCAACTTAGTCGTCAAAATTGTTTTTAAAATTTCCATCAATTGAAGAAGGAATACGAATAGGAAGAACAACAGCAAGAGGAGAATCAAGATTAGGAAGAGGAATATCTATAGGGTCATCGATGAAGGAATAGACAATAAATCGATAACGATATTTGAAAGACCGCTGCTGGGAGGTATCCGTCATGAACAACTTTAAGCTGAGAGCCAAGTAGAGTTGTCCTTGTGCGAAGCAAGGGATTTTCAAGAAAATGCCCACCTTCTTTAGGTGCGTTCGGTTTAACAAAATCGGAGCCGAGCGAGCAGATGCAGATTTGGTGTCACGTGATCACCTAGCAGATAGAGCTAATGGTATTTAACGAACGCTCAACGAGGTAGTAAATAGTAGATTGCGAGCGCCAGCTGTCAGAAGTAACAGAAAACAGAAACAATTCACTTAACCTTATTACTTTTAAAAACACGTCAGGGCAACAAAGTTCTTTTGAATGTTTGTTGTTTATATTTTGAAAATTACTAGGGAAGGAATGATTCTGTCTCATATGATCGGTCATTAACTGTGGATCCAGGGCAGTTGTGATCGCATATATTACAGATATATAATTAATATGCTACCTACAGCAAATTCGTCGGTCATTCTGGCGATTCTGGGCAAGGAGGATTCTACAAAATTCAGTTTCGTGTTTCGTTTCCAGTGGATCGAGTCTTCAATTTTTCGACATAAAAGAGATATAATTTCAATAACATGTTGTTGACATTGATTTGTTGACAATTGACAACCGAATAACCGATCAAATCTGAATGATCTGCTCCTCAAAGCGGAGCAAACAGATTACATCTTTCAGCTCGCTCTGACAATTAACGAACACGGAGCAGATTAGACAGAGGAAGTAGATCTGATTTATCGAACGCTTTCCGAGCTAACGGATGGAATCGAGCTAACAGATATGTTATAACCGAACGCACCTTTTAAAGTTTGCCCTTGCGATGTGTTGTTGGTCATCGCAAAGGCTACATAAACCGATAATTGCAGACGAAGCACTGTTCCCGTCTAGAAGATAACGTCTTCAGCGACCGTTAAATTCATGCGTGGAACAAATGCAACATTACCCCCATAAGCTTCGACGCTGCCAGTGAGAACTTGCATTTTAATTGAATTGCCATCCTAAGATATGATGCGTAGTTGTGTACTGGTACAAAGCCACTAGGCAGGACGTGGTTTCTCCGTAACATGACTACGCATTCCACTTTGAGTGACAATTCGTATGGAGGGAGACCCAGAGGCAGTGATGAAATTAAAAAAAAAGTACATACAACATATAAATCATAGTGTAGGTAGTAGTCCATCCTTCACTACTGGTATGTAGATCATTGCCTTTGTCCCCCTCCGCATTGCTATTATTGTTATAATCGATACGACCACGACCATAGATTTCGTCGACAACGTCATTCAATTCCGCGACGTGTCGGGGAGGAATCTCGATCAGGGCAGCGGGAGAAAAGAGTGCCGGCATCTTCGAGTGGGGTAATTCGTCGTTGCCAACTCTCAGTAGGAAAGCGGCAAAGTTGACAACATTATCAGATTTATCTGCATCATCATGATCATGTGGAGCTGCAGCTCGACTGACTTTAATTTTCCGTGTATCGATAAATTCATACCAACATCCAAAGATCAGAAGACTTCAAAGATGATGAAGCACCTGCCCAGAATGCGCACGAGGGACAATTGGTTACCAATTGGCGAAATCTGCCAAATACTGTCACGAGTAGAACGGTATATTAGTAATTTCGAACCATGAGTGTTTTATAAACATTAAGTTGATCAAATCATCCATTGACATTGACATAAGAACTGACCAAGGAACTCATGAGAAACGTGCAAGTCTAATAAAATGATGTATATAAATATTAGATGTAAGGGTTCCGAAGTTAGTCTGGTCTGGGGCTACTCTTGACTTGACAAGAACTCGTCGTAATGGTAATTATAATTCAAGTTGTTATTTGGTCTTTATATCTATTGCAATTCTATATTCATCACTTTACCCATAATGTTTCGTGTTATAATAAATATTGTCATCTTCGAATATAGTCTCGTACTTTCAGTTACCCCCAAACTATTAGTGCCTACTCAAATATTACCTCTCGCAAACTATTAAGCTAAGCATTACCCTTTATGAATCGATATGGATTGACTAACCATCTATTATATCCTGACAATACCACCACTTTGCCACCCATGGGAATTCCGGGTGCCTTCATCAGATCTTGAAGGTACAGATCTAACGCCTCGACAGCCAATCTACGAGTCATCGGAGCCTCGTCCCATAAGATGTTGGGGATATTTTTGATGATGCCAGCTTTGTCGCTCCTAACCGGATACCCCAGAACAGTTTTTTCGTACAATTTTAGCGGCAGCCTGAACGCAGAATCCACGTTGGTTACCTTCGCTAAATACTATGTATCTACTGTGAAGGAATGTTTTACCCTTACCGCCAGGTCCGTCGTTGGAAAATAAATTTGGGTAGGGATGTGGAAATGGCAGACAATTTTGGTTTTCTAATGCTCCCGAATGGGTTCCACATCCCCAGGCCGAAAAAAAATAATGTTTCAAGAATTTTATCGCGAATTAATTTTTGATCCCGATGGAAGAATTATTTTCTACATAAAACATCAATAGGATTTTCCATGAAATTGCTCTCCCTCGCAACGCTATCGTTGGCATCGTTTATCACTAACAATTTTTTAAAAACTCTTCCCTCGTTATGAAAGAAATCATCATTCTGAAAGATATCATCGTTCACGTCGATGATTGAAAACAATCCCAAATCGGCCAGAGTGAAACGATATCCGCCCATAACACACATGCGTATGACATTCCTCACATGGAACAATGCCATATGCATGGCGAATTCTTCATCGTCGACACCATGTTATGTAAAATCACGGATCAAATCGTCTCTGTGAGAATGCCACATTTCCGCGATGCCTTCCAGTATCGCCCCTTTTTCGGAAATCATTAGACAAGCCAAGTAGCCGAAGAGTTAAGAAGCATTCGCAGAAAGAAATATTGAACAATTAATGTTGAATAAGAACACGAAAAAACAAGAACATAATAGGCGAACTAACATTGAACGAGAAAATTGAATAGAAACATTGAACAAGGACATCGAACAAAAATTGAAAACAAGAACATACAACGAAAAAATTGAGCAGAAAAGAGTTGACGAGTCATGAAAGAACATCGCGTCAATATGACCTCCTCCAGAGCGCGATCATATCGATAGTGATTTTCCAGCAAAACCATGGCGCGACATGCCGATTTGTAATCAGGATAAACGATGCCAGCGATGGTGGGCAAAGTTTTGTAGCTTGTCACAAAGACATGCTGCAGCAACATTCGCAAATAAATTCGCGTAGAATCATCGGCAGACAGAAACATTAAACAGACAATAATATATAAGAATATGGAAAAACAAAAACCTTATAGAACTAATACTGAACGAGAAAGTGAACAAAAACATCGAACAAAAATATAAAACACGAACATGCAACTAACAAATTGAGCAGAAAGGTCGAACAAAAACATTAAACGAACAATAACAAAGATCAAGAAAGAACATGAAAAAACAAGATCATCATAGAACTAACAATGAATAAAAAAATAGAACAGGAACATTGAACAAGAACATTTGGACGAAACACAGAACAAAAATATCAGACAGGTGCATGAGCGTATCGATGACTCTACACCATTTATTTCGACTTGTTCACAGTCTATTAGGACCATTTCACGTGTAACGCTCCGGAATTTCAACATATTTTAGAAGTCTTGCCTCGCGATCGTGTCCTCAGATTGAAGTCGGCGGTCAATTTTTCTATCTCTATTGGCCTGTTCACTATCTCCTCGTCTGTTTTCCTGTACTCTTGTACAGGTAACAAGACAATGTTGTGACTTTTGTCACTGATATGATATTCAAACAAACGCCAACAGGCCTCCATCGCAATGACGTACCTGTAATTTCATTGTTTTCGATTTCATCCCAATTAATAATTGGGTGGCGATATATTGATCATTTTCAACGTGTACAGGTGAAACGATTTTCACTAACTAATTTTGTATACAAACAAACGCAGAACAGAAACATTAAATGAACAAAAGCAAACAACAAGAACATGAAGAAAACAAGAACAGGAACAAACAAGAACATTATTGGAGAACTAACACTGAACGAACAAATTTAACAGGAACATTGAACAAGAACATCGAACAACAAAATTAAACAAACAATAACACTCAAGAACATTTTGTATTCAAACATACACCAAAAGGCTTCCATGGCATTTACGTATCTATAATTTTTATATTTATGAATTTCATCCCAGTTTACGATTCGAAGGCCTGTAGGCGTTAGTTGATCATCCAGCCTATGAGACAGTGATGATCTAGGAGATAGTGGACGAGGGTTAATAATATTATCATTATTGGTGTTGTTGATATTATTGACCGCCGAGTTTTGACGATTATTATTTGGTACTTCTGCAAGCTGTACGGATATGTAATCGGGCTCTTTCTCCACATACTTGTGGAGGTACCTGATGGATCGCAGACTGCCGCACAGTTTAACGTTCAGATGACAATAATATTTTCCTTCAATCAATTTGTTGAACTGTGGGACATATCTGTTATCCACCAGAATATGGTTAGGCAAATTAATATGAACGACCGTTATCCGGCCGTAAGAGCTTCGGCTGCGCCAAGCGGTTATCACCGCCACCCCTAATTGAACGATCTCTAAACATTTCTGGAAAATGTTTTTTGCATCGGTCATCAAGCATGCATGGATCAGTCGGATTATGTTGCCCACAAGGTTTGTGGATCATGAGCTAGACTACATATCCGTAAGCTTTTGGTTCGTGGACACGATCCAGCAGCTGTGCACAAACCGCATTGTCAATTTGTTGTACGGTGTCCAGCCTATCTTCCGGTCGAAGAATGACAAGGAAATGGGCGTGTGGTAAACCCCGTTTTTGAAATTCCACTGTGTAAATATAATTCAGGGGAACTTCAAAAGGTTGTTTGGTGGTGAGTTCGTCAATCAATTCTGTATGGTAGGCGACATACCAAATCCATTTTTGATGCCCACGGAGGATTCCCTCAATTTCTGGCCATGACGGGTTGCACGTGAAAGTGATAAACAAATCAGGTTTAGCATGTCGTGCAACCATCGTCATGGCATATCTAGATAACGTCGTGATGAGTTCCTCTCACCACCAACGAATGCGGTCGGTAAAATGACAATTTTATCGTCACGCGCATTCAAATTCCCAGCTCTGACCTGAAGCATTCTTCTCTAATTTTGCCAATTGGACGTTCTGAATTCCCTCTGATACTGCTTGTAGTACCAAAGTATGTTCAGTACGGACCCATATGTCCACGATATATTGCTGAAGCAGTTCTCCACAATGACGATTGTCCCGCGGCAGTAATGAATTTCGGTGCGACGGCATCACTGTTGTGACATGACACTTCTTGATTTTTCGAATAATTACTAGAGATAACAAAGGAGACTACTTGAAATTAAAAATGGTAATATTATTTTTTTATGCGGATATGAAGATGGAAAATAATATCCTTCCTGCACAAGACCTAGGTCGGCTTAAAAAAAAATTGTTCTAATATATATATTGTATATGTATATATTTTTCGGATGATTACTGGAGAGAACAATGGAGACCATTTTTTTAAACAATCTAAAGTATTACGGTCTAAATGAACCTTCTTTATATAAAGTATATTTTACGAAAACTTTCTTGACAACAAAATAATTGTTGCATCTCGCATGGGACTGAACTCGAGTCCTCATGCGTAGCAGACGCAGACAGACGCTTAGTTCACTATGGCACGCATTCACTTCAAAATTGTCTATTGAAGAGAACTGCCAACTGCCAAATACATACTACGTGACGTCATCGCACCGAAATTGATTACTGCCGCGAGACAACCGTCCGCAATGAAGACCAGTGCTGAAGCCTTTGAAAACGGTAAAAAGTGAGACAAAATTATAGTAGGATGAAACCCATTGGAACAGGAAAAGAATATAATAAATATGGAAGGAGAAATCAGTTACGGGCGATCTGAGGGGTGAGTTTTCAAGGGTATAAAACGGTTTATCTCGATTTCCGGCAAAACTAAAAGCCCTATGGAAAAACAGTTGAATGCCAGAGTTTTAGGTAATTAAATAGATCTCTACCATTTATATCGACATTTTCTTCACATAACCTCAAAATTCATGTGGAAAATTCAAATATCCAAGTTTTTGGTTTTTATTCTTCTTTCACTTTCACAAAAAAAAGTTCTCGCGAAATTTGATAAAAACTTACTTCTACATGTTCCAAATGCGCTGTGATTTTTTTGTTTCAAAATATCCATTTTTTCGCCCTATTTTGACTTAATATCGAGAAGCACCCTGCATTTTCAATCGAGAATTCTCGCGTCATAATATGTGCATTTTCAAAATAGTTCGTTGGAATCTCTTCTTTCTGATGGTGTCAAAAATACAGGGTGACATTTTAAAAACATGCACCCTCAATATCTTCCAGTGAATAATATGAAAAATCGAGAAGGTCAATATTATTCTCAAGGAGACACTTGAAATGAATATTTTTAGCCCTCTTGGTTCAAGGAGTAGATCTTGCCCCCAGAATTTCCAATGAAAAGGGGGGTCAAGTGGCACATCATTTTGAAGGGCGTTGAGTTATCTCTTCAACGGTACCCTAGTTCATCATTTTCTGTTGAGCAGTTTCCAAAAAATGCTGCTTCAATTACAAAACTTACCACCCTCAATATCTTCCTTCCAGCAAATAATATGAAAAATCGGAAAGACAGGTCAATTTCAATGTCGAGGAGGACACTTTAAATGCATATTTTTATCCTTCTTGGTTTCACCCCCTAGGAGGAGTACATGTTACCCTTAGAACCTTATATGAAAAAGGCGTCAAGATGCACATTATTTTATAGGGCGTTCAATTCTCTTTCAAACCGTACCATAGTTAATGATTTTTTGATGAGCAGTTTCTGAAAAATGGTGTTCTAAACTTACAGAAGTAATTGGAATATGCCTGCACTGCAATGCATTCAAAATCTCCCTAGCATTTGGACAGAAAAGGTCAATAAAATAATACCAACCTGAAAACCATGCATATCAGTCGAGATATCAGTGCAGGCATGTTCTTATTACTTCTGTAAGTTCAAAGCGGCATTTTTCGGATATTGCTTATCAAAAAATGATGAACTAGGGTACCGTTGGAGAGAGAATTGAACGGTAACATCTACCCCTCCTAGGGGGTTGAACTAACAGGGCTAAAAATATGCATTTCAAGTGTCTTCCTCAAAAATGGTATTGACGTGTCTTTTCGATTTTTCATGTCATTTACCGAAAGAAATATATTATCGGGTTGTAAGTTTTCTAAGTGACACGACATCTTCAAAATGATGTGCCACTTGACCACCCCCCTTTCCATTTGAGATTCTGAGGGCAAGATCTACTCCTTGAACCAAGAAGGCTGAAACTAATCCTTTCAAGTGTCCACCTTGAAAATAAAATCGACCTGTTTCTTCGATTTCTAATATTATTCACTGGAAGATATCGAGGGTGGGAAGTTTTCGAAATGTCACCGTAATAAACATAACCATGGTAAATGTTCACAGAAAATTCAAAGGAACGAAAAGCAGCAGTCACATTTTTCAGATGGAATTCTCTTCATTATTTAGAACATTATATTTTCGCATGGTGTTTGCAATCCTAACGGAATTGACATTTATTTGTTCATCGATGTAACATGGAATCTAACGTTTTTCGAGTAATTAGTGAATTCGAGTATCGTTTCTTTGCATTTTCTGAGAACATTTACCATAGTAACCCATATACAGGGTGTCCTTAAAAGGTCTTTACAAAAAGCTACCACATATTCTTCAGACCAAAACAATTCGATACAAGCAAACTTACCTCAGTAAAAAGTTGCTTAGTTTGGGCGCTAGACGGCTCTGAAGTTGAAATTTTCAAATCGATTTTGCTTCATAACTTTGGAACGGCTCATGAGATTTTTTTCAAATTTGGTACGTTGGCATAGACTCATCGGGCAATGAAACTCATATCATAATCATAATTAATATCATTCCATGGGCGTAGAACTTGATTTTTTCAGGAAATAAACATCTAAAACTTCTACGCCAATGAAAAAAAATCAGTTTCAGTATGACATCTAGATAGCCCAAATCATTCACTACAAAAAAGGTATTCTTGATAAAATTCGATTACTCTGATGGTTTCGACCATTTTCACGTATACAAAGATTTATACAACGCAAAAAGTTGAGATGTACTTTTTGCATAGGTTATTTCTATTGAAAATTAGTAGCACTGTTTTTTTTTTTCTGAAGACTATTATTATCTGCTCGAAAACAGTGATATTCACATTCTTGGTTTCCATAGTTTCATCTGTGTTGATTTGTCGAGTTTTATTGACGTTGATTGTTGATATCGGACTTTTCTGATTTATCATGGCCGTACAATACACCAATGAAGAATACACCGATATGTTATTGGTATTCGGATATTGTCAAGGAAATGGTCGAGAGAGTGTGAGGGTGTATTCGGCAAGGTTTCCAAATCGTCGCGTACCAAGCCACCCAACCTTTGCTGCAGTTGAGAGACGTCTTCGGGAGACCGGTCATTTTGCTCCTAGAACTGGTGATTATGGAAGACAGCGTTATGTAAGGATTCCCGAAGTCGAAGTAGAAATTTCAGACCGTATTGAAGAAAATCCAGAATTGAGTACTAGACGGATAAGTAATGAACTAGAAGTTTCTAGGAATGCCGTTCATGAAGTACTAAGAGAACAATTATTATACCCATACCACAAGACGCCAGTTCAAGATTTATTAATCCATGATTCACAAAGTCGTCTGATGTTTTGTAGGTTCATTAATTTGCAAAGAGAAATGAATCTGAACTTTGGAAAGAATATTTCGTTCACTGATGAAGCCTGTTTCACAAGAAGAGGAATAACTAATTTTCATAATGAACACGTTTATGCAATTGAAAATCCTCATTCCATTAAAATAAACCATTTTCAACACGAATTCAAAATCAACGTTTGGGCTGGAATAATAGGAAATTTTATAATTGGTCCTGTCATACTTCCACAAAGATTAACAGGAGACATGTATTTACAACATCTACGAAATACGTTGCCAAATTTGTTGGAAGATTTACCACTCCAACATCGGGTAGATATGTGGTTTATGCACGATGGAGCTCCACCACATTTTTCGGTGGATGTTAGGAATTTTTTAAACCAACAGTACCCAGACAGATGGATAGGTAGAGGTAATGATGTACCCGTGAATTGGCCACCACGTTCTCCAGACTTAACACCGATGGATTATTTTGTATGGGGTTATCTCAAGTCTACGGTTTACAAGACCCCTGTGAATACTGTAGAACAATTATGGCAACGTATCCAACAGGCGACGAATAATCTTACAGGCGATGAAGAAGTTATGCGAAGAGTACATTTCAACTTTTGGCGTCGTATAAATCGTATATACGTGAAAATGGTGAACATTTTGAACAATTTTTATGAAATATCTGTTAATCGTTTTATTATTAATTATGCTCTAAATCACTAAAATTAAAATTTTGTCGAAACCATGAGAGGAATCGACTTTTGTCAAGAGTACCTTTTTTGTAGTGAATGAGTTGAATAATTTAGATTTCATATTAAAACTAATTTTTTTCCATTGGCGTAGGAGTTTTAGATGTTTATTTCCTGAAAAAATCAAGTTCTACGCCCATGGAATGATATTCATTATGATTATGATATGAGTTTCATTGCCCGATGAGTCTATGCCAACGTACCAAATTTGAAAAAAATCTCATGAGCCGTTCAAAAGTTATGAAGCAAAATCGATTTGAAAATTTCAACTTCAGAGCCGTCTAGCGCCCAAACTAAGCAACTTTTTACTGAGGTAAGTTTGCTTGTATCGAATTGTTTTGGTCTGAAGAATATGTGGTAGCTTTTTGTAAAGACCTTTTAAGGACACCCTGTATATTCCACACCATCAGAGAGTAGAATTTCCAATGAACAAAAAGCCCATCGACTGTTTCGAAAAAGCAGATATTTTGACGCGAGAATTTTCGATTGAAAATAAGTGTGCACTTTGGA